TTAAAGCCCGCCCACTTCACACCGCTAGGAAATGTATCATAACGTATTCATGTTCATTCAATAAAGTTTTAAAGTTTAGACCGCTGGCCCGCCCAGTTCACACTGCGAGTCCGCTACACTGTTAGCCCGCCCACTTCACACTGCTAGGAAATGTATCATAACGTTTTCATGTTCAATTGGTTAAGTTTTAGAGTTTAGCCCGCTGGCCCGCGAGCCCGCCCAGTTCACACTGCTAGCCCGCTACACTGTTGTTCCGCCCATTTCACACTGCTAGAAAATGTATCATGAGGTTTTAATGTTGATTCAATTAAGTATTAAAGTTTAGACCGCTGGCCCGCCAGCCCGCCCAGTTCACACTGCTTGCACACTACACTGTTAGCCCGCCCACTTTACATTGCTAGGATATGTATCGTTTAATCTGTAAAGGTTTAGAGTTTAGCCCGCTAGACTGCTAGCCCGCCCAGTTCACACTGTTAGCCCGCTAGACTGCTACCCTGCCCAGTTCACACTGTTAGCCCGCTAGACTGCTATTCCGCTCAGTTCACACTGTTAGCCCGCTAGACTGCTAGCCCGTTAGCCCGCGTACTTCACGGACATGTAGTAAAAGTCCACCTTAAATAAGTGAATTCATAGGTACAAAAGCAAACAATACATTATTTATATATTTATTATTATGGCTGTAGAAACCGAAAATACAAAAAAACCTGTTGACATTTAGTTGGATTTGTATAAAATTGAACATCAGTGGGCTTATATAAATTACAAATTGTTGCAAGACATATTTTCAAGCATAAGAGTACCGGAACAGGTATTCAATGTCAAATTTAAACATTCGTTTTACATTATCTCTGTTTCTGTTTACATCAGAAACCACGTGGTAGAACTATTTTCACACAGTTTTGTTTCCGATGTTATTATAGATAATAGCCGAGGCAGTTCCGAATTACATTGTCTAGCTTTTTGCTTTTTCAACTAAAATAATGGACAAAATAAAGCTCATACACCAATTTATTTTCAGAAACAGTTCCCCAAGGTATAACATGTTTGTTAATGATAGAATATTGTATAAGTTCATGTGTGTAAGTTAAATTTGATCATTTTGAATCGCTTTGTTAAACATGCATAAAAATATTCTGATTTACTTCTTTTCGACAAACAAATTCAGAAATGCAAAAAATATGCAATTTAAACGTTTTTTACTCCAGTTTTCGAAACCAAAAATCTTTTTGTCTAGCTTCATTTCTCAGAAGCAATCATAGTTATTTACCACAAACCTTTTTTTACAATTTACCACAAACTTGACACACTTTTCACATTCAAAATATGTCATGCAGATAATCAAAAATTATATTTTCTAAAATTATGCTCATTTCTTTACTTATTTTTTTCTAAAATCAATTTCCCAAACATTGTAAGAGTTAATTACTTCAAACCTTAAAAACGTTTTCACTGTTTAATTGGCATACATTTCTTAAGGACATTAACTTTATTATGTCTTTGTTAGATATGTATACACTTTTTGATTTTGATTTTTTTTGTACACTCCTTTTAAGTTGCGTTTTTAAGGGGAAAATAATAAGCCAGTTTTGCTCAATTTTTCCTCTTTTTATACTTGGACTGTTTGCCTTGTGCTACAGAACAGTTCATATATTCACTTCAAACTTGAAATACTTGTTGACTATTACGAGCAGGTATTTTTGCCTGATAAGCATGTTTGCAGGATTTTGCTCCTTTATGTGTTGTCTTTTTTAAAACTGTCTTGCACTGAGGAAAGTGGAACGGTCTTTCCGCGGACAGGTATTGTTTTTAACTATGTCCGTGTATATTAAAATTTCGGAGCACAAAACTAGTGATGGCTACTTATTTTGTGATGTTATTTATTTTTGAAGATGAACAATGCTACTCTTAGAACCAATCAGTTTCAATAATTTTAAACAAATACATTTCAGACATCTTCATATTCTAGATTAATTTCAATGTAATATATAATACACATTAATAAAATGTGAAAGCGAATCAGTCAGATCCAGAATAAGACTCCTTGAAACAATCTACATTTAGTGTAAGAAATGAACCTGTAAATCATGCATATGTTAGGGGTCAACTAGTCTATGTCTAGGAACAGTAAGTTTTATACCAAAAGATTCACAAGGGTTCGCAGAACACAAAACGGTATTTCGTTTTAACCGAAATCGTCGGATAATCAAGAAATCCAAGATGACGTCCAAGATGGCCGCCAAAATTTCGCAAAAAACAGTAATTATCATTATTTGGCCAATTTGTTCAAGAATTTCTAAGTCACATTTGACTTCACATATAAATATGACAGAAAATACATGTTTACTGTAAATGAATTTGATTTTGGTCACTTTTATGGGAGAAATATAAAATATTTGAAAGAATATCATAAAAATTAAATTTGAAAGAATGTCATGAAAAATTAAATTATGTGTTTCCTGCTACATTTGTTTGTTTGTTTGTGCTTGTATGGTTATTTTCTTACAATCATAGTTAGTTTAGACCAGGTTCGTTCATTTGCACATCTAAGAAGCATAATATGCACTTATACTTTCTTGCAATTATGCCAAGCTTTTAAGCCACGTTGCAGGGATCCTGTTTGTTTAAGCATCAAAAGGTATTTCTCGTGTCACGTTTAAGCATTTTCGTCTTCAAGGCAGATTTAGCAGAAGTAAATAGAATGATCCTATTCTTTTAACCTATTTCTCCGTCGAAATATATTAATATTGATATTGAATAATAGTTGTGACACATTTTTAGCTCGACTATTCGAAGAATATGGAGAGCTATTGTAGTCGCCCCGGCGTCGGCGTCTGCGTTGGTTAATGTTTTTTGTAAAGTCAAATATCTCAATTATTGCTTGAGATATTCAATTGAAACTTACAATACTTATTTATAGTAACAATGTACATCAGATTGACAAGTTGGATAGCTCTGCCTACAATATTTACAAAATTATGCCCCTTTTTAACTTAGAAATTTTGGTTAATTTTTTTTGTAAAGTCAAAAATCTCAATTATTGCTTAAGATATTCAATTGAAACTCACACTACTTATTTATAGTCACAATGTACATCAGATTGACTAGTTGGATAACTCTGCCTACAATATTTACAGAATTATGCCCCTTTTTAACTTAGAAAATTTGGTTTAATTTTTTTGTATAGTCAAATATCTCAATTATTGCTTGAGCTATTCAATTTAAATTTACAATACTTTTTTATAGTAACAATGTACATCAGTTTGCAAAGTTGCATAACTCTGCCTGCAATATTTGCAGAATTATTTCCCCCTTTGAAACTTAGAAATTTTTGTTAAAGGTCTTCAAAGATATTTACTTGAAACTTTACACATGTCCTTATTAGGGTCATAATTGAAGGTCAAATCTCAAGATTTATTACTCTGCCATGTATTTTGACTGAATTGTACTAAAAAATTCTCCTTTTCTTGGTTAAGCTTAACATGCAAGTTTTGCATATCTCTAAAACTATTAAAGATACAAACTTGAAACTTCATATGTATATTTGTGGTCATGAATAATGATCACTGAACAGCACTCATATATGTGTCATGTATTTAGGCTGATTTATCTCCCCCTGTTTTACTTAGTCTCTTGGTTAATGTTTACATGTAAGTTTTACATCTCTCAATAACTATCAAAGATTTTGATTTGAAACTTCACATATGCATGACGGGTCATAATTGTATGTCACTGACCAAGTTCCATAACTCTATCTTGCATTTAATTTAGGCTGATTTATCTCCCTTTTTCTACTTAGTCTCTTGGTTAATGTTTACATGCAAGTTTTACATATCTCAATAACTATTAAAGATATTTATTTAAAACTTCACATATGCATTTATGGTCATAATTTTAGGTCACTGACCAAGATCCATAATTTTGTCTTGCATTTAGGCTGATTTTTCTCCCCTTTTTCAACTTAGAAATTCATGGTAAAGTTTTGCTTGTTAGCTGTTATCTCAATAACTACTGAAGCGTTTGTGCCTTTTTGGGGACAATTCTATGCATTCATAATAAAAAAGCAGTGATTTACTTAATAAAACATCTTAATAACAAGCCTTTTTACCTTTTCGAACAATTATATGTATTCATAGGTAAGCATTATTAAACTTAATAAAACACCCTTGTGACAACTTTTTCGAATAGTCGAGCCTTACTGTCCCCCGACAGTTCTTGTTTAACTTAAGGTTATAACTTCTTTTGACATTGAAATTGAATAGACAAATCACAAAGGCTTTCAAATTATAATCAACATTGTTCCGTATCAGGCTGTTATGTGATAAAGTGACTTTAAAACTAATTATGTGGATTTGATATTCAGCAGCAAACGTTTTTTAAAACGTGTGTGTGATAATCTATTTTATGTGTAAAAAAGTCAGTATACTAAAACTGATTGAATTTACATTTCCTTTAATGCTGAAAAGGCCTTTGAACTTTTAAACGCTTTTATTTAATTATAAAAGTAGAAAGATATGATGTCACTTTTCATCGCAAAAAATGTTTTATATCTCAATCAAATCAGCAGTTTGTCATTATATTGTAATCACTGTGTATTCGCTGATAACGGCTCATCATTTCACATCCAAATTGAAACGTTTCAAAATGTTATTTGTGGTCAGGAATTTGAAATAGCGATGAGTAACTTTGTTAAATTGAATAATCGTTCAAATGTTATTTGACAAATGTGTCCATAAAAGTGTTAGTAAAGAAGTGTGACAGTTTTTTTTATTTGGTTTGAGATGTTACTTCTCGCAAAATCAAATTTCTTCCACCGACAGTGTCAATGCTGAAAAGAATATCTTCCCAGTTGAACAGATATATAATTATACATAGTATTATGTATTTTCTTGCAAATGAAAAAAATCTTAAACTATTCTATCAGTATTTCTGTGATTTATTAAAATAAAGCAGTGATTATTATGTAAAGTAGAAGACAGTTATAAGATAAAAAGTACTCTTACTGTATAGTATAACGCCGAACCATATAAAATATCATCCATGTCTTGTGCAGTGAGTGCAATCCTATTACAAATATCACCAACAGTGATGTGTACTTGTTCCATTTCCACATACATGTCATCCTAAATTATATATTATTTGTTTGTGTCATGTTATTTATATTGTTGTTGTTTTTTTTACACTATTTCATTTAATCATTATCATGCAATTTTTTAATTAGCGTGTTATGTTTTCTATATATTATTAAATAGAATAAAACGATTGTTTACACGTTTTTAAATATGTTGCATATAACCAAATTTAGTATGTTATGTTATATCATACAAAAGAATTACTTTAGTGTTCGAAAAAGACAGGTGAAAAAAATACACAGATGTATATGTCATTCGTTGATGAAAAATTAAGTGTGATTAATCAATTAATTGCCATGATAATTGTCAGATAGTCTTTCAATAGTAGGCATATTTACTGTGAAACTACAAAGAACATTTATTCAAACATAAATACATTATACATTCTTCTGTATGCACATGTACTCCACTTCTAACCGTGTTACTTTGATAATAGAACAAAATCAGTATAGCTTTCAATACATTGATGTATACAGACTAAATGCAATCGATGTCATATATTAATTTTCTTACTTTTAGCGATGATTAGGAGTAAATCATTATCCGCCATTTAATAATCAGCTAAACCAGTAAAATGCCCAGCTTACTACAAGGAGTGATCAAAAAGAATTGCGTACAGGTCTTTTGCTCAAAATCCTCGAGGAAATAGCAACATGCCAATGCAAAACTGTATAGAGCTGCCCAATACTTACATAATGTTTACATGTAGCTATATCTAGTGAACAATAACGTTTTTGAAATCGAATTCGCATTCTTTAAGTACCGCAGTAAAATTGATTGGTTAAAACGTTGATAAGAGAAAAGAAATATTGGCTTATTTTAAAGCTTGTTCTAAGGTTAGTTATTCTTTGAAGGAAATATTTGCTGAAGAATCTGATATTTACAATTCCTCTTTTGTTTTCTATAACACAGCAGACGGAAATCGAAATGTTATTATTTAAGATACGGGCTACAAACTAGCAATTGCTAAACGCTTGTTGAGTGCAAATTGATTGATGAAGAAATTTTCTCCCCTTAGCAAATGCAGATATCAGTGAAAAAAGAAAGAAAAAATGTTCATGGAACAAATATATGGTGCCGATTTACCAGATTAAAATAACAGATCGTAGCTTAGCCCTTTATGAACTAAAAGACTTTCAGAAATTATAAAATCTTCGTTGCACGTAGATACTTTACAAGTCTGACGCTTAGATCTACCATTTTTTTCGGTTTGTTAACGGAATGCAAACTTTCCCGGAAAAGGATCAATCAACGAACATTTTTATGATAATTGAGTATTTCGAGGGAATGGTAAAATTATTGAACTTGAATCTAAAACATCCTATTCAATACGAAATAAGCAAGTAATTGTTTTCGAACTCTCCTTGTAAATTTCTCCAAACTTTGATTGATTATGCCCCCTTTTGAAAAAAAGGGGGTATATTGCTTTGCACTTGTCGGTCCGTCGGTCCGTCGGTCCGTCGGTCCGTAGACCAAATGGTTTCCGAGTGATAACTAAAGAACCCTTAGGCCTAGGAACTTCAAACTTGGTATGGTGATTGGTCATGACAAGTAGATGACCCCTATTGATTTTGGGGTCAAGGGGTCAAAGGTCAAGGTCACATTGACCTTGTAAGCAAAAACGGTTTCCGATCAATAACTAAAGAACCTTAAGGCCTAGGAACTTCAAACTTGGTATGGTGATTTGTCATGATCAGTAGATGACCCCTATTGATTTTTGGGTCAAGGGGTCAAAGGTCAAGGTCACATTGACCTTGTAAGCAAAAACGGTTTCCGATCAATAACTAAGAACCTTAAGGCCTAGGAACTTCAAACTTGGTATGGTGATTTGTCATGATCAGTAGATGACCCCTATTGATTTTTGGGGTCAAGGGGTCAAAGGTCAAGGTCACATTGACCTTGTAAGCAAAAAACGGTTTCCGATCAATAAGTAAAGAACCCTAAGGCCTAGGAACTTCAAACTTGGTATGGTGATTGGTCATGATCAGTAGATGACCCTAACGATTTTGGGGTCAAGGGGTCAAAGGTCAAGGTCACATTGACCTCTTGGGTAAAAACGGTTTCCGATCAATAACAAAAGAACCCTTAGGCCTAGGAACTTCAAACTTGTATGGTGATTGGTTATGACCAGCAGATGACCCCTATTGATTTTGGGGTTAAGTGGTCAAAGGTCAAGGTCACATTGACCTTGTAGGTAAAAACGGTTTCCGATCAATAACGAAAGAACCCTTAGGCCTAGGGACTTCAAACTTGGTATGGTGATTGGTCATGATCAGTAGATGACCCCTATTGATTTTGGGGTGAAGGGGTCAAAGGTCAAGGTCACATTGACCTCTTAGGTAAAAACAGTTTCGGATCAATAACTAAAGAACCCTTAGGCCTAGGAACTTCAAACTTGGTATGGTGATTGGTCATGACCAGTAGATGACCCCTATTGATTTTGGGGTCAAGGGGTCAAAGGTCAAGGTCACATTGACCTCTTAGGTAAAAGCAGTTTCCGATCAATAACTAAAGAACCCTTAGGCCTAGGAACTTCAAACTTGGTATGGTGATTGGTCATGACCAGCAGATGACCCCTACTGATTTTGGGGTTAAGGGGTCAAAGGGAAAGGTCACATTGACCTTGTAGGTAAAAATGCTTTCCGATCAATAACTTAAGAACCCTTAGGCCTAGGAACTTCAAACTTGGTATGGTGATTGGTCATGACCAGCAGATGACCTATTGTTTTTAGGGTCAAGGGGTCAAAGGTCATGTAACATTGTCCTTGTAGGTAAAAACGGTTTCTGATCAATTAACTAAAAACGCTTAGGCCTAGGAACTTCAAACTTTGAATGATGATTGGTCATGACCAGCAGATGACCCCTATTGAGTTTTGGGTCAAGGGGTCAAAGGTCAAGGTCACATCGACCTTGTAAGTAAAAACGGTTTCTGATCAATAACTTAAGAACGCTTAGGCCTAGGAACTTCAAACTTGGTATGGTGATTTTTCATTGACCAGCAGATTACCCCTTTCGATTTTGGGATCAAGGGGTCAAAGGTCAAGGTCCCATTGACCTTGTAAGTAAAAACGGTTTCTGATCAATAACTAAAGAACACTTGGGCCTAGGAACTTCAAACTTGGCATAGTGATTGGTCATGATCAGCAGATGACCCCTATTGATTTTGGGGTCAAAGGTCAAGGTCACATTGACCTTGTATGTTAAAACGGTTTCGGATCAATAATAAAAGAACCCTTAGGCCTAGGAACTTCAAACTTGGCATGGTAATTAGTCATGACCAGCAAATGACCCCTATTGATTTTGGGGTCAAGGGGTCAAAGGTCAAAGGTCACATTGACCTTGTAAGTAAAAACGGTTTCTGATCAATTAAGTAAAAACGCTTAGGCCTAGGAACTTCAAACTTGTATGATGATTTGTCTTGACCAGCAGATGACCCCTATTGAGTTTTGGGTCAAGGGGTCAAAGGTCAAGGTCATGACCAGTAGATACTTGATAACCCTTATTAATTGTTTGATCACTGGGTCAGAAGTCATGCATAATTACCTTATCACATGAATAATTGGCTGCTGATAGGGGGCATACATGTTTTACAAACATATCTTGTTTAAATTGAAGTCAGATATTGATCAAAAATTTGTTTAAAAAATGTTTAAAAAGGGTAAATATTTAATCAAATAAGTGGTAAGAAAATGTTCAAGTAATGTTACCAATAATGATCGATCCCTTTCAATCAACGTAAGACTGGCCAGTTCAAGGTATACTAATATAGCATTCAATGAATACAAGATTGCATGTAACGCATTCTTGTGTAAGGCACCTTCAGTTTCTACCTGATTTAATAAAAAACAAATATTGGTAAAGAGATGTTGAAGTATTTAAGATAATCAAGTATTTTACGTAATTAATAGAATTTTTTATAGAATTCATAAAAAAATAATAAAAATGTATCGTTCTGGGATTTGCCAACAATGTTTTTGATGAAAATATCATTCTTATAAATTTAATATTTGTAAAAAGTCAGTATATGGCTAAGTTAAATAGGAATTGAATCACAATGACCAAATGATTTGTTTCTGAATGATTGTATTGATAAAGCAAACATAATAAATATCAGATACTAGAAATAGCGTTTTATAAAATGATATAGTACAAACTTGCTATCGATTTTATGCATAAAATGTAATGTAAGGCAGATGTTTTCAATTAACATGACATTTTTATATTTGAAACATAATTTTAGATTTCCTACTTACAGAAGCTTCTTTCGAATCCGTTGCTGAAGTCGCTATGGGTATTGCTGTAGAAACATACATTTTTGCCTGACCCGAAATTTCTGTCTCTTCACCACTGTGTTCTTTTTGTTTCACACGTGTCCCAGTCATTGGCTCTATCTCTTTCAAAGACAATCCCTTAATGATTCTCTCGACATCTTCGCCTTTTTCATCTATCAAAGTTTTAGTACTTTCTTTTTTTTCTTTATCTACTTTCGAACTCTGATGATCACTTATTCTTATTGTTTGCCTATGTTCTTGTCCCCCCGGTATTTCAACCTTGTCGTCGCTGCACATATCTATTTTTAATAGCATCACAATTTATAATTTAATCAATTGGATCAATTCAAAAAGCATACATTTGGCAAAACGTTTATTTCGCAATGATAAAATTCTCATTACATTTGCAAACGCATAAGAATCATTCATTAATAGAACATCATAATGTTCAATAAGATACCTACTGTAAGATTCATGATCAACAATCGACGAGCAATTTGCTATGATAGATAAATGCGGTGCATTGAATTCTGACTTCAGTTCTGTTTTAATTAACTGCAGGCAAGTTTCAAGCTCATTGTTGCCCATTGCTCCGGGTGATTCGCTGATTTCGGGTCTCACATATTCTGCTAATAGTGATAGTGTATGTCTGCTATCATCGGGGGTAATGTCTTCGTTATCATTTGGGTTAACAGAGTCGATGTTGTGCTTTGTTAAAAACTCTTCGACACAGGAAACTAAAATTACAGAAATGACAGCAACTTTTGCACATAATTTATTGATGTCAATGCAAAACAATACTTTCTTCAATATTTTCATGTAGTTCATTATTACTTGTTATGTATGCTGTAAATAATATTAAGTCAACTATTATAGGCGAGATGATGTACTCTTTCTTATTGTACATTGGACATAAAAGAGTTGTTTATCCGATTTTGCTATCAAGCTATCAAGCTAAAATATGAAAGATTGATTGCTTTATCAACATCATTTAAGTAAGACTTTAATTTTAAGGAAACGTGCTTTATAGGAATATTCGTTTATCAATAGCCAAACAAGAGACCAATATTTTTTTACATTTTAATTAAAAAAAACGTCTTACTTTATTTTTAACTATAACATTCCAAAAACCCCTCTTTTTAAAATGGGAGTTTTTTAAAAACGCAAAAACTCTCCCCTTGAAACAGTCTTTAATGCCCCGTTTAGATATGTAAGCTTATTAAAGTCCCTGTATTTGTTCTCAAACAAAGCAGCAAACGATCTGAAATTTGGGGCATCTAATATGAATTGATGATCATGTTTTAGATGTTGATTTTTCCAGCCTTTTGAAAGAATAGTTGAAATTTTTTTGACTGCTTCCCCGAGTCTACAATGATTCGCAGGTTTGCCATCTGAAATCATTGTCTCCATTGATCACCTCCTCAAACAACTGTTCTAACACGGTAGACATTTTGGTTTCTTCGTCTTCACTTACATTATTGAGATCCAGAAAAATATCCAATCCTGCAAAATGAAAACTAAAATATAACAGGAGCACCGCAATGACGCATGCAATATTGGTCCGAATGAAAATTTATCTGAGAAGCTTGACCGAAAAAAAACCTTTATCTAAATTATCCTTATAATACCAAATCAATGCTCAGTTTGAAGTTTTTTATCCGTGATCCCATTGGAAGGTCAGTTTTGACACCAAGGTCATGGTTAATGTAACGTTTTAGAAAACTAAATATTAATGCAAATATCTAAGAAAATATCCAAGTAGTGGGTCTTTGTAGTTTAGGAGTGATATAATTCAAGATTTGTGCATATAAGTCTACAAAAACTAATTGATCAGAAGTAACTGATTGTATAAACGGTGGTTGAAATTTACCACAAAATGTTAATAACTGTCACGTGTGAAGTTACAATGTGACCAAATGGGCTTAATTAATGTCCATTTTGATGAAATCTATGATAGCTAAGCTCTGTGCATTGTAGTTTTAAGAATAAGATAAATGTAATTTCCTTTATAGGTCTTCATAAATCAAGTTATCCTAAAAGAGGAGCTAATATCAACAAAAGGACATGGTGTATATAAGTTTTGTAGAGGTCCACATGCCAATGCTACATGCCGACAATCTGAGCTCTTCACATAGTAGTTTCGCACTATAAGAGTTAAATGTTTTCTTACTATACAAATCCGGGGTTGGGCAAATATTGACCCCAAGACATGATTTATATAATTTTCGTGAAGGTCAACAAGCCAATACTATATGCCAAGATTTTAAGCTGTGGGCATAATACTCTAACATAATAAGTTAAATTCCTTGTCCTGTATATAATGTCCATATAAATCAAGTAACCCCCGGGGCGGGCCAATTTTAATTTTAGAAAGCCCAAACCAGCGTTTTGCACATCATATCATTATAAGTAATACATGTATTTCCTTCTATCAGTTTAAATAATACAGCCCAAATACGGAATTTGGAAATTAAATATACTGTGTGACCAGCTTAAACTTGCACTCCGCACACCGTCTCATTCTGGTTAACATTTCTGCCAAGTTGTTATATAAATTATAATGTTCTATCCATCAGTTCAAAAGATACAGAACGTCACGAAATTGCTTACAGATAGATAGACGGGCTGACAGGTGCCATTACGACAATATTTTTCCAGCGTATAAATCGTATTGAAACAATCAAATTAGCTGCTTTATATGTGGGTTGTCTGTTTGAATTGGATATAATATATTATCTTTATTTTTTATCACTATGACTTGTACAAGTTTTAAGTTATCATAGTTTAAGATTCCATAGTAATGTTGATGTATTATCAAGAAGTTTTTATTCCAGAAAAGGAACTACATGTGGGAATATTTGATGATTCTTAATAGATAATTTGATAACTTAAATAATCATATAACCAGGCGAACAAATAAACATACTTACACTGACTTACATTTTAAAACTAATAAATAGGGTAACAACACTTATTAAAGACAACGTTCGAAGAGAATTGAAGATCAAATATACTCAAGTCCTGCACCATTTTTAATTTTGTTGTTTTGAGCATTATTTGGGGATTCTGTTTTTTCTTTACTTTTAATGAACTATATATTTTATATACTGTAATAAAGGAACAAGCATCAAGGAAAAAAATGATACCAATAGAAAGATGTAATGCTGCAAATGAACGTTTGCTTCAAAGAATTAAAACAACAAACAAGAAAACGCTTTTCCAATCACGATTAAGTTTAAATTGTGTGAATATCGATAATATTAATGTAACCTTATCACGATAAAAAATTATCTTACCGGGAAGTAAGAAATTGTTTCTCGCTGCAACTAGTGTTGAGCTATCTTTCAAGTCAGGGCCTGCTATAAATGAGTTCCAGTCTGTCGTCAAGCTTTTCGATTTTTTTTCAAAACAGTTTCATTTACTTGTAAAGAAAAAATAATAAGCGATTGGCAATCGCAGAATTTTATTTAAAACATGATATAGTTAGACACATGAGTTTCAAGAAAAAGTTAAGCGAGCAATAGATCGCTATATATCGAAAACTTTAAAACTAAGCGGATCGTATTATTTAACCTTAATTCTTAAAACATCATGAAAACTATCTACCAAAAACGTACCGTCTATTACATGTTCCAACTTTTTGTTTATATCAAATTCCATTAAATAGAATGTCCGCATTTCCCTTAGCGTTTCGTTGAGCGCCAGAGGTCCATTTTCTAGTTGATCCATGTCCTTATCTATTTCAGACTTTACCATTTGGTTGTTTATATCCTGCATGATTCGACTCACTGTCACTTGTATAGTTTCCAAGTAATCCTTAAACTGTACGTCAGTAACGCTTGGTTCATTCATGTGACAGAGATCGTTCCGCATTCTTAACAGTTGTTCTATATCTTGTCGGATTAAAAGTTTTAAGTTGCAGTATAATGTTAAAACTTTGCAAAAAAGGGATAAATCCCATTTTGTAAGTTCCGTGACACCGTGTCTTGGAAAGAGGACATCAAACTTTTCCTTTGAAAGTTTCGATTTTTTTATTGCATCCTTTTTACTTTCCAAAAATTGTTGGACCGTCCATGGGTATGGTTGGTGATCGACTGGACTAAGTTCTTCAACACGTTTTAATAGGAGATGATAGCATGCCTTTGTTCCTCCTTTGCTAAGCATTAGACACAGTCTGCAATGTTTTTCTGTCCCGGTCGTAGACATTATAATACCGATCTGAATATTTAACAAATAATAAATGTTATTTACAAGACGTTTAATCTACACTAATAGAAAAAGTTGAAATAAGAATAAAATTATTTATATTCGTTTTTTGTGATACGAGACCTGTTCGAAAAGAAATTTGCATTATTTTCGTATTACTTAGTCGTATTTATCTTTATACCTTCAAAGCATTCTAATTGACTTGAAATTCATAATTTAAGACGATAAATCAATTTTCGAAAAGCCTCAGGATTCGCTGATTTTGGTATAGTGCTAGGGTACTAGACAACAGTCCTGTCTTGACCAATATTTTCGACTAGCAAGGAATTTTTTCAGATTTGGAAGGAGAAAAAAAGTTTCGGGGAGCAAACACTGGTTTTGGGGAAAACATTGACTTGCTCTTGTTTAAAAAGTTGGAAACTATTGCAGAGGTTTTTGCCTGGCCGTTATCGTGAAGCAGACGAACGCCTTTGAGCCCTGTGGCATGATGTCGTTTTTAGTTGTAGATTTTCCGTTTATTCAACACAACGTCTTTGTAGTATTTTCCTGTTGTGATTTAACCCCTTTTGACAGGAACTTGAATTGCAATGCCTTTAATTAAAACGAAAATTGCGTACAAAACCGTCTTGGCGTTTTGCAATAATATTTTTTTTGCAGTTTCTAATGGCCCATATTTTATTACTTTCATTACTTTCTTTTCATACTAACTCAAAAAGAGAATCAACGTTTCATCTCCAGTTAGTTACTACATTAGCTTAATTGGATTGGCCGTATGCTAAGAATATTTGCAGATGTCTTTTGGCAATTTTAACCCGTTGCCTCTTTTGATCATCTGTTAACAAATGAAGTACTCTAGCACTAACCTTTCTTACAAGTCATTATTTTCGTTTGAATAAATAATTCACTTGATACTGATATAGTACCTACCACTTGTGCTTTATCACGTGTCGTATACCTATGATCTTTCTAATTGATTTATTTTGTTTTCTATTGCGGTCGCACGCTTTGGTCTGTATCATGTTGGTGCATTTTCAACAAACTGTAGGCCGGATTCAAATTCCATTTTCAACCAACAAACAGTGTCATACGACAGCGAAGTATTACTTTAAACAATTATAATTCCACTTAAAATATCTATTTTTACAGCGTGATAAGCAATTCTTTTCGAACAGCTTTTATATTTCTTAAGAAAACAACTTATTTTGTTTGAACTATGTTTTAAGGGGAGCGGTGGCCTAGTGGTAAAGGTGTCTGCCTCTCAAGCCAGAGATCATGGGTTCGAACCTTACTCGGGTCACGACCATGTTTCTTCATATGACACCAGTACTGGTTGGTTCCAGGAAGCGGACTCAATAGTGATTGATATAAGTGGCAAGAATTTGTTTCGCAATCGAGCTTAAATAAATATGTTTAAACCAAACCATCTACATAAATTATATTTACATTGTATATTTTCCAAATTTCTAGATAAAAGAAAAAGATGTGTTGTAGTATTTCTGTATAGTAAGAATACAGATAATTGTTAACTGACAAAAATCCTAAAGCCGTATTTAAATTCTTGAGAAAAAAATAAAATATTGAATTTTCTTTAACTTTTGGTGCAAGAATGAACCTTTGTCGAATCCGACCCTGGAAATTTGGATGAATTATTTAGCTCTATAGAAACGATAGAAAATAACCGTTATAATTTTGCTACAATACAACCTGTAGTTGAATCACCAAAATGTTTTAAAATCTATTCCTATATGAACGTTATTGTAATTGTGCCCGTTTTCTTTTCAAATATATTTCAGTGACTATTACAAACAGGGTAATTGATACACATTGTACATATGCGTTAACGAATAAAGAGATAACCCGATATATACTAACTTCACTGATGCGTTTAATTTGAATAGTTAAAAATGTGACATACCTACCATTTTTCGTTATAATTCATTCGTAGTAAATTATATTATAAAAGGGTTTAAAAAGTAAAAATGCTTGAATATGAAATTTTTCAAAGACATAGATACATTTTTCTTCCGGGTTTATATCACCTGTAATCAATTGTAGCTATATTTTTTAACAAATAATGACAATAATTGACGAAAGTATAAAACGAAATGAGTTAGATTTTACCTTAAACTGGTTAAATTATGTAGGTCTGTTGAATGTCACTAACTAATGTTTTACTCCGGCTTTCTTTCCATTGTACTATTTCCGCCATTTTGAATACGGTTACGTGTTTGACAACGGGTGAACACAACTAAATGTAATGAAACAACTAGGTTAAACAACATAAAATTAATGTAGAGCTAATGCCCGAAAGAATAGCTACTCGTCTGCTCTATATATATAGATAAAGGTTTCGCGCTTAAGCTTAGCGGTTTGTTTACACATCAATTGTGTGAATACATTTAAAATGACTATGGGAACAAAATATTTAGTAGGGGAGTTCATGCCTAATATCAATTACAATCTGGGGGATGGGCAATTACTAAATATTTTAGGCAGAAATATTTATATTTAAATCAACTTGCAAGAAATTGTGTGTTAAGGAAATATCAACAGCATAATTGTGTGGAAACAAGTTGTATGAGAGTAAATAAGGAGTATGACGAAACAAAAGAAATAAAAAAGATCAGTTTGGTTTCAAAACGAGAAGAAAGTGTTATCTGGAAGAGACTTTTTCAGCAAATTGAGTGAAATCATGTTAGAAAAGCAAATATTTGAATTATAAATAAAAGGGGGTAGGGGTGAAAGAAAATTGGACTTAATACTGAAGTCGGATTTTTATGCCCCCGAATGGAGGCATATTAAAACCGCACCGTCTGTCTGTCCATCCGTCCGCACTCACAAGACAGTAATTATGTGGCTAGCGGGATAATAGGTAACTGTTCTTTGATGTCATTCATTCCGTAATGTTTTTTTTGTGGCTATTTTCTTTTGTGTGGCTAAAAAGAACAATAGAGAGAACAATAGAGTAGCCACATGTTTACTATCCTGTTAGAACGTCCGTCTGTCTGTTCATCCGTTCTCACGGGAACTGTTATTTCTCTTTGATGTCATCCATTCCGTAATGCTTTTATGTGGCTATTTTCTTTTGTGTGGCTTAAAAGAACAATAGAGAAACCAATAGAGTAGCCACATTATAACTGTCCTGTTAGAACGTCCGTCTGTGGGTCCCTACTTCATTCGTGTCCGGACTGTAACTTTGTCATACATCGAATGTCCAAGAGTTATGTCTCTACCTCAAAGGTCAAGGTCACACTAACATTTTGAAGTTTCACATTATCATAATTAGAATTAATAGGTACATACAATCGTGTCCGGACTGTAACTATGTCATGCATGGAAGGATCTTAAAATAACTTGGCACACATGTCTACCACATCAAGACAATGTGTCGCAGCTAAGGCTCATGTCCGTCTGTGCGTCCCCACTTACACAACAATCATGGTCAGACTGTAACTTTGGCATGCATTGTGGGATATTTTGAAATAGCTTGGCACAAATTTCTATCTCATAACAACATTCTGTTGCGTCCAGGAACCACGTCCCTTCTGTTTGTTTGTTTGTTTGGGTTCCGTGCATTATTTCAGGTACGACAGGGCACCTGAGTAGAACCACCGACGTTCCGTAAGCTAGCTGGATAGCTTCCTCACATGAAAGAATCAAAAGTCCCTGTTGGGATTCGAAACCACAGGTGTGACGGGCAAGTAATTTGAAGTCAAATACCTTAACCACTCGGCCACGGACGCCCCTTCAAAGGTCAAGGTCATACGTATATTTTGAAGGTTCACGCTATCACAATTAGAAATTACAGGTACAGTTAAACAAAGAACAATATTAATTATTAAGCAAGTAGTTACTTTCATTCTCTTTTCTTTTCAAAATACCTGCAAGCTTAAGAAACCTTTCGGGGGCGTACGCCACTTGGGTAACAGATCTTGTTACTTATAATTTTATAATGTTCTTTTCTGTTTTATTACTTATAGTAAATGTTGATGTTATTGTTTTTTGTTTCTGTTTGTCTGTTGTTTTCGTTTTTTGTTTATGTTAAGACCTTTAAAAAGAGTTTAAAATATAGTGTGACTAAACAAATCAAGTATTTGTAACTTAAAATCTCGATCAAGTCATTCCATAGGACACTTGTTTTCAAGATCGTGCATGTGTGAATTTGAATCTTATAATTTATGTATACGTTATAACATTATTCGTTTTGGGTAGTGATAATGGATTCAAACATTGGTAACATCTCTTCATGAAGTATTTTTCCTCTTGCGATGCTGCTACATCTATAATTTAACTGCTCACGAACTTTGTTTGGTCTTCAAGAATAAAAAGTGATATGAAGGATTCCATTGCTACTTTATATTGGTGCCTTGATAAAATCGTAATTGATTGTTTTGATCCCTTTAAAAAATATTCTGGAAAAATTTTAATGGTTTTAAATTAAATTATTTGTTTTTACCCTGGGAAATTTTTTTAAAAAAAAAAATAAATTTTTTATTTAAAATTGAAAGTTCCCCAGTTTTAAAACAAAGTATTTTTTTTCGAACATCCCCTTTTTTTGTTATTGCTGTTTTTAAAGAATCTTTCTGTTATCTGCCCCACGCATTTATTTCGTTTCATAGTTCCGTAAATTAATTTAAAACCCCTTCAGGGAAGACAACAAATTTTTTTAAATCCTTTTTTCCCTTTTTTACCTAAAAGTCCACCCCCCAAATTTCCCCTTTTGTTTTTAAAAAACTCTTTTTTAAAAATTTTGGAATAGAGAAAACCCCTTTAACAAAAAGCTTTAAATTTACACAACAATTCTTCTTTTCATTTATTTATTTCTAATATCTGCTAATTATTGATGGATTTTGAAGGTGTTTCTGGACATAATTATTTGTCTACTTTGTCAGAACAATTTTTCTTTTTCTGAAACACTTTCAAATCTCTACTCTTAATTTAACCACCGAAACGAAGTTTGAGAGGTATATAGGAGTAACCCTGTGGTCAGTCGGTTGTTCGGTCGGTCGGTCCAGACGTCCGTTGCATTTTCCTTGTCCGGAGCATAACTTGAAGACTAAAGGTTGGAATTAAATACAACTTCATATAATGGTCAAGCACATTGAGAGGAAGTGCAGTGCAAAAGAACAATAACTGCATCTGTACTAATTACATAGTTATAGCCCTTTGTTACTTTCTTTGTCCGGAGCATAACTTGAAAACTACTTGTTGGAATTAAAAACAACTTCATACAATGATCAAGCACAACACAATAAGGAGAAGTGCAGTTCACAAGAACCATAACTCTATCTAAGGTAATTACAGAGTTATTGCCCTTCTTTACTTGTCCATAGCTTTTTTGTCCGGAGCATAACTTGAAGACTAATGGTTGGAATTCCAATACAAACTTACTTCAACAAATCAAGACACACATTGAAAGGAAAGTGCAAGTTGCACCGAACCCATAACTATATCTTAAAGTAATTTACAAAGTCCATTTTGGGCCTTTTCTTTACTTTTCCAAATTGCTTTTTTGTACGGGGCATAACTTGAAGACTAATGGTTGGAATTCAATACAACTTCATATAATTGAGAGGAAGTGCAGAGCAAAAGAACCATAACTCCATCTTGACTGATTACAGAGTTATTACCCTTTGTTACTTTTTCTTGTCCGGAGCGTAACTTGAAAACTACGGGCTGGAATTCAATACAACTTCGTCAAGCACATTAAAAGAAAGTGCAGTGCTAAAGAACCATAACTCCATTTTGACAAATAATAGAGTGATTGCCCTTTGATACTTTTCCCTTGTCCGGAGCATTACTTGAAAAGTACTGGTTGGAATTCAAAACAACTTCATACAATGGTCAAGCACAATAAGAAGAAGTGCAGTGCACAAGAACATTAACTTTGTCCAGAGTCATTGTAGAGTTTTTGCCATTTGTTACTTTTCCATTGTTTTTTTCTTGTCCAGAGCATAATTTGAAAACTACAAGTTAGAATTCAATTTCATACAATGGTCAACATATTGAGAGAGAGCACAGTGCACAAAACCATAACTCTTTCTTGACTCATTTAAGAGCTTTTGCTCGTTGTTACTTTTTATTGTCCAGTGCATAACTTGAAAAATAATGGTTGGAATTCAATGAAACTTCATACAATGGTCAAGGTCAGTTAGATGAATTGCAGTGCACAAGAATCATAATTCTATTTAGACTAATTACAGTTATTGTCCTTTGTTACTTTTTTGTCCAGTGCATAACTTGAAAACTAGTTGTTGGAATTTAATACAACTTAATACAATGATCAAGCGCAATGAGAGGAAGTGTAGTGTACAATTACCATAACTCCATCATCAGTATTTGTACAGTGATTGCCGTTTGTTCCTTTTCCTTGTCCGGTGCATAACTTAAAGACTAATGTTTAGAATTCAATGCAACTTCATACAAAGGTCAAGCGCAATGAAAGGAAGTGCAGTGCTCAAGAAGCATAACTTTTTTTCTGGACTTTTTACAGATTATATTCAATAAAACTTCATCAACCAGATTAAAAGGAAATGCAACATACAAAAACCCAACTATCTTTAATTGCCCACAACCATAACTCTATTTCAATTCTTTTACAAGGTATTCTGTTACTAGTAACTTCCTCATTACCGAAACAGTCTTGCGGGGGGGGGGGTACAAATCACATTTTGTGATTGTTCTAGTTTGTGTTCCTTTGAATGACATTCTTGTTTACAATTTAACATTATACTTTTTTGTTGGATATCTATACGGATATTATAATTATTTTGAAAGAACATGTATCGTGCCCAAATTTATTTTATTTTAGATAAACTAATCTTGATGTCTGTAAATAATAGAAAGGGAGAAGGAATATATTAAGTGTTGTTCAGCTTCATTCTTTTCAAACCCTTGATATTAAAATAACAAATTTTAAGATATTGACAGACTTGCCTCCCTTGATATATAAGTAGCAAATGCATATATACAGTATCAAAGACTTTGATTGTTTGTTTTTTGTTTGTTTGTTTGATTAGGTTTTACGTCACACCAACACAGTATAGGTCATTTGGCGACGTTCGAGTTTTACTGGTGGAAAAGCCCTTCCGTGCATTATTACAGGCATGAACGGGCACCTGAGTAGAAGTAAGCAAGCTGGTTACCTTCCTCACATGAAAGAATGCAAAGTCCCTGTCGGGATTCGAACCTACAGCAGTGAGGGGCAAGTGGTTTGAAGCCAACGACCTTAACCACTCGGCCACGGACGCCCC